AGAAGTTTTTTTGGAGTTTGATTAAAAATCTGATTCAGAATGATAAATTTTAATATAATTAATTGGACCCTAATGGAAATCAATTAGACAAATTAAATTATGTGGGATTTATGATTAGTTATGATTAATTTAATTATGTGTTAATCAAGATTTGTTAAGAATAAGAGTTATTTAATTAAATTAATCTTAACCATAAATTAAATTGTAGAATGATTTAGGGTTTGAGAATATATGTAGGTGTGTGTGTAGAGAAGTATGTTTTTGTGTGTGTAGAGAAATCTGGGTGTGTAGAGAAAATTTGAGTGTGTACTGAGAAATCTGGGTGTGTGTGTGCATGTGAGTGTAGTGTTGGAAGCCTTAGACAATGTGCACATGTGCATGTGGTGTCAACAAGTATAGGTGTGTGTGTTTGTTTTCTTTGTACTGGAGCATTCCTTGTGGAAGGATTGAGTTCAACAGAGAGAGAGAGAGAGAGAGAGAGAGAGAGAGAGAGCTCACTTCTTTGGTGAAGAATGATTCAACTTGATGGAAATTTTTGAAGAAGTTCAAGGGAAAACCCACTTGGGTGCTAAGAATTGAAGATGAAATAGAGAGCTAAGGAAGAAATCAACTAAATTTGCTGAAATTAAAGTTTAAGGTATGAAATTTATGTTTGATTTTATAGAATCTTTGTGTTACATTTGAAATTAAAGATGAGTTTGGGATCAATTTCATGTAATTGAAAACAAATTACAAGAAGATGACGAAATTAAATTAGATTCATGATTATGGAAATTAATTATTTTGGGTTTGATTTTGGAATATCATGCATGAATTGAGTCTAATTTGTACATGCATGGACAAAACCTACAAGTCTTAATACTCTAATTGTACATGCATCATAGATTTAAATCAAAGGAGTTTATGAACAAATGAGTTCAATTTGTAAATTAAAGGAGTTTTGATGTAAATGGTTTAAAATTGATCACATTTTCTTGATTAATTAAGAGTTTGTGTGGTTTTAGACAAGCCATGTATGAACCCAAGTTTTGAGATTATATTTTGAAAGTTCAATTCATGTTTTAGAATTTGTGGGTTTGAAATAAGGCTTGATATGAAGAACATGAATTAAATTTAAATTTGAACAAATATGGAAATAAATTATAATTTATATTTGATAATCAAAAATTAGTTTGATTTTGAATTAAATTTCATACATGCAAATATTTTTTAAAGGGCTTTATAGCTTCAATTTATATTTCATAAATAAAGAAAGATGATTTTTGTAACAAGGGGAACTTGGCACCACATCACACATGCATACATAATTTTGTTGAATCTCATGAATTTGAGTGTCATTTCTACCATTTGAGATGAAATTAGAGTCTACATTTCACATGCATGCACAATCCATGGAAATATAGAATTTATGCGCATGAGTTATGAAGTTTAAGGAAATGAATTTGATATAATTTGGGCTTGTATGATGAATCCTTGGAGATTTGAGCTTCAAATCTTATAGGATTGGCATTATATCATGTTAGAAGTTTTATGGTTGCTATATATGACAAAGCATGTAAGTTGTATCATTTAAAGTTATGTTTTGAAGCACAAACAACATTCTAGAAAACCCATAAATCAACTTCATTGCTCGAGTGGAGAAATTGCCGCTCAAGCGTAGAATGCAAGCAACCAGTATTTTTTGCAGACCGAGGGGTCTGCTCGAGCGGCCAGTGTTGTTCTTGAGCGAAGAGCCCTGTTTCAGAAAATTTTGAAAAGTTGTTTCATATTCCGATTTGCGTTCTCTTTTATTTTTAGGCACTCTTAGGCATATATTGAGTATTATAAATGAATTAAAAGAGTAAGAAAGAAGCCTAAAAGAATTAAACAAGTTAAGAACGAAATAAATTATATTGTGACCCAATTTCTATGTGTATTATGAATTGTGTAGGGTCAACTACAAGGGTGAACCAGATATCTGAACACTGTGAGTTTAGTAAAGATATGTTCGTATCTGCTATTTTTAAATACCACCCATGTGTAAGTGTTTTGGACTTGTGAATTCGAATTATGAATGAGCATTCTACTCATTTGATTGTGTAAGGCTATAATGAAATTGATAAGCATGAAATCATCTGAATGGACCAAAGGTTGTTCTGAATGAATATGAAATTGGCCTAAAGGTCGTCCTGTATATTTGATTACATGGACCAAAGGTCGTTTTGTATGTATATGAAATGGACCCAAGGCTATTTGATATGTTTGACAAGGATATGAAGTGGGCCCAAGGCCGTCTGATATGTATGTCAAGGACACGAAATAGGCCTAAGGCCATTGAATACGAATGTGATCATGATCATGAATATGAGTATGCGTATAGATATGAATATGGAAATGTTGGACCTGAGGTCGTTCTGTAATGTGATTGTTGGAACAATCTTCTGTGTAAATAAAATAAATTGAAACTGAAACAAATAAATAAAATAATAAACTTACAGAATTTATTTTATCGAACCAAATGAAAAATCAAAGACCAAGTCGAGTGTGTGATACTCTGTCCTTAAGACAGATTCGCCCCGCTACGGTGCTTACGGTTGAGTGGCGTCTATCTCCCAGGATACAATGATCTTCACAAACTTGTAGTAGCACTTCAAACAAATTTGTCCGGCGAACAAAACTTTGTGTTCTATACTCTCTCAATTTTATTTTAAAACTAGAATGAAGAATATATAATGCAAATGAGCAAATAGGATAGCAAAATGAATTTTGTAGACTAATTTTTAGATGTTTAGATTGCTGGAATTGAAAGGTATTTATAGGCAAACACTACTGTTCGAACAGGTATGAATTTAACTTGAATAGGTGCACTTTTGAAATGAACAGATATCATTCAAAATTCAAACAGATTTGCAACAAAACTGTCCAGATTTGAATCTGTCTGGATAGTTAAGAATCTGTCCGGTTTTAAACAGTTAGAAAAACTGTTTGGACTGAAAAATCTGTTTGTGGAATATTTAGACAGGAAAAAGTTTGTTTGGAAAAAATTTAAATTCAATTTTGAATTAAATTCCCGCAATAATTTTTAAAAAAATTCAAATGAATTTTGTCCAAAAAATTAATACAAGAATTGACCCGACCCACAACCTGCGCTCGGCATGGACGGACGGACGACGGCGGTGGCGCGAGTTTGTGGTGGTTTGGGCCAAGATTCACTTTGTCCATAACTCATCCCTTCTACAAACTTGGAGTGCCCCTTGGGGCCCAACCTAAGTATTGTAGTCTAGAGCTTATATACACAAAAAAGCTCTCTTAAAGTTTCAATGTGGGACAACCCATTAAAAGGAAACCCACATTTAAATCTTTAAATATTCATTCCATGAACCCGAAAATGACATCAACTTCTTATTCACTTATAAATGGTTTTGACGAACAGTCTTCACCGTGTGACTTGCCATGCGGCAAGGAACACATCACCTCTTCGGACCCGTCCCAAAAGATGTTCGGGGCCCACTCAATTTTGGACTCAAAGATGGCCCAAAATAAGCCATATAAAACACAATTTTCCAACAGTGATTGGGCCCGAGGCCATTCCGTGTTATGATTGGTCCCAAGGCCATTCTGTCATATCATTGGACAAGTATTTTGGACCCGAGGTCATTCTGTATGAATAAGTATTTTGGACCCGAGGTCGTTCTGTATGAATGAGAACTTTGAACCCGAGGTTGTTTTGCCCTTCTGATACGCCTTGAGCATGATGGATTGGACTTGAAATCGTTCTTAGTTGGATTTACATGTATTACGTATAAATATGAATTACTTAATTAAAAATCTCATTCGTATAACCTTTTTACTTTGGTGTTATTCACTGGGCGTTAACTCACTCTTTATATATATGTGTAGGTGAGCAATTGAAGGATCAACATTAGAGTTTGTCCTGGAGTCCACCTCTTTGTCAAGCCACCCAAGAAGTGCCTCTGTGTAGAGGCTTTGTTTTATTTTGTCAAGCTTGGGTTAATCCTTGTATTTTGTTAAAAGTCCTTCATGTAGTGTGTGAGATATAAAATATGTCTTCGTACATGTATACACTACAACATATAAGACTTTTGGCGACCAATTATTTTCGTCCCTAAAACCATTATTTTGGTCTCTAAATACTTTTTGTGACAAAATTAAATTCGTCACTAAAAAAGTCACTAAAAGTGCGTCTAGAAAAGTCTTTAGCGACCAATTTTTGAAAATGTCTCTAAAAATAACAATTAGCGACTAATTTTATATTGTCACAAAATGTTTGATTTTACAAGACTAAACATTTAGTCGCTAATACTTCGTCACAAAATATCCCGATTTGGTCGCGAAAAACAAAATAATGACATTTTTAACGACAACTATATGTGGTCGCTAAAAGTGAAATAACTTTCTTTACCACACATTTTCGTCGCTAAAAGTCAATTTAGAAAATATTTTGTAACCATTTAATTTCATAGCTTAAAATGCCCAAAAAATTAAATTTGTCATCCAATCAAATAAAATAAAATAAAATAAAAATTTAAAATCCACACACCAAAGGCATTTTACTCCCAAACCACAAAGAGTATATAGAAAATAAAATTTTACAAAAATTAAAACACAAAGTATCCAAAGTCACTTCAACATGGTTTATTATATGAGTTAAAACTCAAAATAGGATCAAAATAGTTCAACATAGGTCATTATATGAATTAAAACTCTATGAAGATATCAACCACAGTCGACTTTAACACCACGCTATGGCTTTGCATTTGCCATGCCCAGCTTGAGAATGTTGGCAAAGGAAGGGCTTCAGTGGCCTTCCCTAATGCTCTTCCTGGCAAACCAAAGATGATGATCAACACCATTTTCTTAGAAATCTAAATGAGAAGGTCTAGGGACAAAAGCATAAACTGAAGTTCTAATCAATCAGAAGGTTTCTTAGAAGGCTACTATATGATTTAAGTTGTTCATCTACTATTTTGTTAAAACAAGGACTCTGACTTTTGCTGTAGAATGCTTGCTTACTGTGCTTTATCATATAGATTTTATTGTTATATTAGAAAGATTGCATTTCTCTGTGGTTTTAGAAGGTAGAAATATTGGTCACTCAGTCATATGTGAGATAGACAAAATGATAGACGATAGTTACCTCATAGTTTGGTGTGAAAATGGGATAGATGCCAAACCATATCGGAGGGTGCTTGGGCCATTGTTAAACCCCGGGTGTTTTGTCCATCCGTAGGAGCAGAAACAGAGCTCTCAACCTGTAAAATACACAAAAGACATTGATCTATTAAGAGGTTATAGTAAACACAAAGATCACGATCTATGTGATTACAAAAATTCAAAGACGAGAGAATTCAAACCAGCCACAAGATGAAACAGGATAGTAGAATTACCAATAAAAGGATAATGGAATTACCTGGACATAGGCATACTTGTTGAAAAAACGAACCAGAGTCTCCACAAGATAAAACAGGAAAATCAACACAGCACAGCAACACACACTGTTGCCAATCTTTGATCTGAATCCCCTAATCTGAAAGAATTCAATCAAACTGCATAATCAGTCATACCCATGCACGCTTGATAATATCTATGAATGCTATCCACTTGTGCAAATAATATTTCTGTAAACTTAATTCAAAGCAGTATTTGACTACCTTCCACCGCAATGTCCAGATAGCAGCTGTAAAGAGTGATCCATACAATGATAATACCTTGATAATACAATGATAATACCTTGTTCTGACTAAACCCTGACAATAACAAATAGCACGAATAGCTAAAAACTTGCCAGCTCACCACAAGAAGCCACCAACGTCCACCATCACGCATGCTTGAAGCCACAACACCAGCTGCACCGAAAGACCATAATGCTAGCCATAAAAGCATGACTAACATGAATGTGCATGCTACTCTCATAACCTCGGGAAGACTCCACACCATCTTAACAGCTCCTTGCAAAACCCACATGGTAAATGGAAGCCTACAGAAAAATATACAGTCAGGGAACAATGGAAACAGTTGATTAAAGGTTATTCCAAATCTTTATCATGAGAGAGAAGAGAGTTTTATTTAATGCAAACTAACCTTTTGCTTACAAATTAAATCATAACCCAATACATTTGCAAGTTTTTCATAAGCAACTACTAACAATGATGCATTTAATTTGGAAGAGTCATCCCAAACTAATAAGAGTGTTCTAAACATTAACTATTGTGCAATTATTTATCTTTGATGAGTATGAATCCTCATGCAGGAACTAGAACTAATTCAAGTGATTCAGAAGAAATACAAAAGACCAAGCTATTTAAACTAAGAATTTAAAGTACTAATCTATACTAACATAAGATGTTTCCAACATGTTTAGAGTTGGACTCACTGTTGAAGTGTTATATTAGGAATTTTATTTGTACCAATCATATGGCAAAATGCTTCATTATTACTAAAGAGCAAGTGAATGAAAAAAAACCCAGGTCCAGTCAGTAGTCACACAAAATTAATGTCTTAATATTCAAAAGTCATTGTTCTAATAATGAACAGTATAACATCATGATAAGTAGTCAATATGTGAATCGCAAATTTCATCATTTGATTTGCACGTGAACCAAGCAATAACAACCAGGCCCACCCAGTAACCGTCCCAACTCCACCAGCAACGGCATATAACGGCTAGTAATCCTCTGTTTAAAAAATTCCCCAAACAATCTAATTGATTTTTCATCCATAATACTAAACTAGTAATTCACTTGGCAGATCTAAACTCACATTGCAACGTAAATCAAACAACGATATTACTAGAAGGCCAGTAGACACTCTCAACCACGCTTGAATTGTGTACACATTGAATAACAATCCCATAGCTTCTTCAGTGTTGAAAAGAAGAAACGCAAGAATAAAATGACACGAAAGTTCAGTGAGATAGCTAACATCGCTGAAATTTCTAGTTGTTTATCATTTATAGAATTCTAAGCAAGTACCAAAAGATATATTTGAAACAATTCCAACCATTCATAATGAGAGAGAGAGAGAGAGAGAGCTCTTGCTCATTGAAATTACTGATGACCTTTCCATCTGGCAGCTGATTTAATCAACTTTTCTTAATAAATTAACAAAAAATACGTACAAATTTTAATACGGAAAAGTATAACCTATGTCATATATATATATATATATATATAAAGTGTGCGTTAATTTCCTACAAAATGAAGAAACGAAAGAGAAATATGAGACAAAAATCCATGAGTTAAATAGTAAGTACGCATAAGTACATATTTTCAACTACTTTTAAAATATTCCGCATGAAGGCACCATATATGAAACTACTATGAGATAACAGCCAGACTCTGCACCTGAGATCTTCTCTTCATTAAGACCTTATTTCCAAATTTTCAGCTCAGATTGGACAAAATATACCCAACCAAAAGTATTAAAACTCGATATTGCTTTCAACGATCTAATTAAGTTTTGAACTGTTAGAAGACAAAAAAGAAATAATCCGAAACATACAAAATAGTTGCAGCTTCTAAACTCTACATTAGATGATTACATGATGTCTGAATACAAGATCACTAATCTTCACCAAGAAATATAAAATACTATCTAAAACATAAGAATAAAACTTTACCTCCAGATTCAAATCAGTCAAATCCAAATTGAACTAAAAGAATTCTAAAAGCCCGTACATTAATAAACAGCAAAATCTAATCATTTCTGGAATGAATTAGAATACAAAACAATCAAATACAAATCAAATCAATTCTGAAGTTGAATTAAAACACAAACTATTGAAAACAAATACAAATCCAGATTGCTACAGTTTAACTAGGAAGAAAAAAGCACCTACCTAGATTATTTGAAAAACTTTTTTTAAAAAAAAATTTGGCACATAAATTTCCAATCCCAAAGCACAAAAAAAATGCAGAACAAGTGCCTCGGATTCGGCGTTCAATTAGTCGAATAGGTATTTTGTGCTCTTCAGATTCTAAACCACTCAAATGAAGAAGAGAGATGATCAAATCGAATAGACAGAGAAGGAGAACAAGAGATTGAGATGTAGAAAGCGAAAGAAATCCTAGATTTTATACAAGATGATAATGAGAGCTCAATCGATAATAATATGTAGTATATAGCAATTTTAATCTGTCCAATCGAACAATATGTGCACTACTTATAGTGTTCTTCATAGATCTACATATATATATATATATATACATACATATATATGTATGTATGTATAAGCAGAGAGAGATTGAGAGAGAGACTCACCAAATCTGCAACAAATTTGAAGAACAGAGATTTACTATGGATTGAAGCTTGTAGATCTCAAATTTGACTTTGAGTGAAGATCTGCGATAGAGAGAGCGAAGAGAGAGATGATCTGTGATGGATAGAGTAAAGATTTGCAATGGAGCCGTTTTCGCATCGTGGATTTGTAAAAGTGAATGAAGCGTGAACAAAGCATGTATTTCATCTGGTGGAGTTTTGCAAATTTTTCATTATTTTTGGTCCCTAAAGATGTTAATAATGTATTAGCAATCAAATTTATTGGTCTCAAAAAGTTAGTAAATATTAAGTGAGAATCTTAACAGTTATTTTTACAATCTCATAAGTAAATTATTATATATTTAAATTTGTCCCAAAGATGTTAATAATGTATTAGCAATCAAATTTATTGGTCTCAAAAAGTTTGTAAATATTAAGTGAGAATCTTAACAGTTTTTTTACAATCTCATAAGTAAATTATTATATATTTAAATTTGTCCCTAAAAGATCATTTTTAGCGACCAAATTCAATTAGTCCCTAAATATTAGTCTCTAAAAGACTAATTTCTTGTAGTGAAATATTACCTGTTCGTCACTAACCAACAACTAATGAAGGATATGACATTTGATGTGTGTGAGAGGCAATTATTCAAGACGGGTAATTTTTTTCTTAAAAAATACGTGTAAGTTGATGAAAAATTATGGGTGATTTTAGGACTAATTTACGAGTGTAAGCTGATTGTCGTATAATGCACAACAGTTATTGTTGTAGTTAATTGGGCCTATTTCATAATTCGAATCATTCACTTTTTTGAATATATTGAGTACAACATACTTACAAAAAATCAAGTTAATTGGATATCAATATATATGTATATATATTTTTTATATCAAATCATATTTGTATTCTAAAAATGAATGGTAAGTGTAATTTGAAGTATAAAACTGAATACTAAAGTTATTTGATGAAAAGGATATTGATGTCTGATTAATTTTGATTTTTTGTAGTTATTTTCTATTCAATGTACTCTAAAAGATTAATGGTTCGTGTTAGGTTTTTGTAATTAACAATCCCGTTTGACAAAACTCCTTTCAGTTGTTATTTTATTCACTCTTTCGTTTAAGTGAGAATGTGAGTGTTTAGATGCAAATCCAACCCGAATTGTGCCTATGCAGAAGAATTTGTGATCTTGAGGCTTTCATCTTTGCCATTTCACTAACTATGTACGAGGATCGAGTTACCCGAGTGGTGAAAGTTGCGCTCGAGCGGTTGACCAATATGTTTTGCACCGCCTTTACTCACACCGCTCGAGCGATTAAGTGTGCACTCGAGCAGTGAATAGGAGCATCCAATATCTCTGCTTGCAAACTGAATTTTCGAGAAATAACTTTTATCGCATAAGCGGTGAAAGTTGCGCTCGAGCGGTTGGCCTATATGTTTTACATTGCCTTTACTTACGTTGCTCGAGCGGTCACTACAATATATAAGAGTTTTAGAGACCAAATGTTTTGGTTTCTAAAAGTGAAACTTTTGTTGCAAAAAACATTTAGGAACCAATTTCTATCGTCAGAAGTATAGTCGCTAAAAGGTTGTCTCAAAAAGTAAAAAACAAGGTTTTTAGTGACAAAATTTTGAAAATGTCACTAATAAATAGATTTTTAGGGATAAAATAATTTGGTCTCAAAATGGTTTATTTTTTTAGACAAAATTTGGTCCCAAAAGGATAATAATTCATCACTAATGTCCAATTTTTGTTGCTAAAAATATAATAGCGACACTTTTCGCAACAAAATTATTTGGTCCCTAAAAAAAAATTTTATCCCTAAATTTTGGTCTGTAAAACCTTAACTTTTTGTAGTGGGTTAAGTATGTGCTCGAGCGATCTTTGCGATCTTGTTTTTTATAAAGTGAGTTTAACCCATCCAGACTTTTGGAGAAAAAGAAAAACCAAAGTGTGATATATTGGAGGGTGTTTTATAAGTATTTCATTAATGATTTGAGAGTGATCAATGAATCTATGAGCTTAATATTGAATTCATCAAGGGGTTGTTTTTTCTATTACGTTCACAAAAGAGAGGTGTTCTTTAGTGGATTTCATGGAACTTGGGCTTGAAACTTTGGTGGATTCTGAAGTGACTCATCGCCATAGATTTGACGTCAGCGTTGTGGATTCAATGTTGGGTAAGATAATTCTGAGGTGAAGACGATGGTGGAAAAGGCACATTGGGTTTGGTTCAATGGATTCGCTAAGTAATTGAGAGTACTCTTATGTAATTTTTGTTTTTGTCTTCTTAGTAAATTGTTTTATAGCTTTGGCTATGATTTTTTTTTTCACAATTGGAGGCGCTCCAATTGTGGTTTTTTTTCATGTTAAATCATTATGTCGATTTATTATTGATTGTTTGATCGGGATTGGTATTCACTATTTAGAATTGAAACATAATCACGAATCAATATCTTGGGATAATTTTAGATTTTTCAATTCGGATAATAAAAGTAAGTCCCAAAATAGCACAATTAGCTGCACAACAGTGGTTGTTGTGTGCTACAACCCAAATTTACATGGTGTCCTAACTTGATAGCTATTGGTTAAAGCTATGTGATTCGGTTCTTTTTGTTAGAATTTCGAGAGATAGCTTGACAAGTGAAGTGTCAAATGATACAAAAAATAATAATATTATGCAAGAAATGTTACAATTCTAATTAGTAAAAGAAATAATGCGTGACTTAGAGTTGTATAAATTGTATGATAACATAAAATAAATAGATTCTTATTGAATAAACAAATTGAATTTTAGAATAAGAACATGCTTGAATTTACAGAAATTCATACTAAAACAAAACTAGCAAATGGAAGCAAACTGAAGCCTCCACTAGATAGTGTCTTTAAAACAGATTTGACGCTTCACCGGTTGGGTGTTGGAGGTTGTTCGACGTCTGTCTCTCAAGATACGACGGTTGGACCAATTATGTAACGCACCGACTAAATAATTTCGATGAACAGAACTTTGCAGCACTCTCTCACAGGAAGAAAAAGATAAAACTGGAAAACTTTTGAAGACTGGAATAACAGCAATTTCTGGTGTAAAAAGATGAAGGAGAAGGCCTCATTTTATATACATGGAATTGAACTCTATAGCCAACAACAAACAATTCTACTGTTCCGAACACAATAGCAGTCTATAAAGAAATATATTTTATATTATATTACTATGGTGCTCTAGAGAGCAAGGCAACAGTAGCCAAACTATGTATATACAGTGGGCTTCCTTGGTACAGGTAGTCTACTCAAATAACAAAAGCAATAGCATGCAATTTTTCGAAACACTAGCAATAACCAATAATGCATGAATCTATTTATCTAAATTACTTGATGAATCTAATTGTTCAATTTCGTAGGAAATACATAATAATCTATTTTAAGTTTGTTGTATAAATTATTAAATTGTATGATAACATAAAACAAATAGATTCATATTGAACAAACAAATTGAATTTCAAAATAAGAACATACTTGAATTTACAGAAATTCATACTAAAATAAAACTAGCAAAAGGAAGCAAACCGAAGTCTGCACTAGACAGTGTCCCTAAAACAGATTCGCCGCCTCACCGGTTGGGTGCTGGAGATTGTTCGACGTCTGTCTCCCAAGATACGACGGTTGGACCAACTACGCAATGCACCGACGGAATAGCTTTAGCGAACAGAACATTGCAGCACTCTCTCACATTCGTAAGAATTTATAAAAAGGCTTGATGCCTTTTCGTAACTCATACAAGGTCTTGTCCACCTTCTTTCAGGGTACTTTATTTAGAATGTAATTTGCGAAGAGAATTGCTTCCCCCCACATATTCTGTGACAATCCAAAACATATCAACATTGCATTTATCATCTCCTTTAGTATCTTATTCTTTCGCTCAGCATTCCTATTGGACTGAGGAGAATAAGGCGTCGTGGCTTGGTGGATAATCCCAGATTGAGCACAAATCTCAATAAACGGTGATTCATACTCACCACCACGATCACTTCTTAAAACCTTAATCTTGCGGCCTAATTGATTCTCAACTTCATTCTTATAAAGAACAAACTTGTCAATAGCCTCATCGTTGCTTTTAAGCAAATACACATAATAATGCTTAGTGCAATCATCAACAAAAGTGATGAAGTACTTATTGCCACCACGTGATTATATAAATTTTAAGTCACACACATCACTATGCACTAAGTCCAACGGCTCTGAACTTCTTTTAATAGAATGAAACGAAGATCTTGTCAACTTCGCTTCAACACAAGTTTCACACTTGTGTTTCAAATTAATCTTAAATGATGATATGTGATCTAACTTGATTAATCTACGTAAAGATTCAAAGTTCACATGTCCTAGTCTACCATGCCACAAATTGGAAGACTCAAACATGTAAGCAGAAGAAGATGCATCTTTATTCATCTTTGGGATAACAATCATTACATTGAGTCTAAACATACCCCCCAACATATAACCTTTACCCACATACACTCCGCTCTTGGTCAGAACGTTCTTGTCGGACTCAAAGACAATGCGAAAACCATGTTTTCTAATAAGCGACCCTAAAACAAGATTCTTACGAATGTCCGAAACGTACAAGACTTCGTTCAAGGTTATCTCCTTTCCTAAGGTCAACTTCAGGACCACCTTTTCTTTCCCCTCAACAATTGAGGTAGCATAATTCCCCATAAACAACTTCTCATTGTTTGTAACCGGCTCGAAAGTTGTAAACAGTTTCTTCTTGGAACATATGTGGCGTGTAGCCCCAGTATCAATCTACCATTCTCTTGAGTTTGAACCCACCAGATTCACCTTAGAGACAACGGCAGACAAGTGCTAGTCATCCTCATCATGGGAGTGCTCTTGCATATCTGCCATGCGAGCATGAGGTTTGGTCTTGTATGGCTTCTTTTGCTTGTGGCAATCACTAGCCCGATCCCTTTCGCTACCACAGTTGTAGTACTTCCCTAAGAACTGATAACCAGGTTCCTGCGACTTGTATGCCGGCTTCTTTGCAACACCACCCCTTAGCCCCAACTTTGAGCTCTTATTCACAGGAGGCTTCTTCCTCACCCCAGAAGATCTTTCATGCTCAATGATGTTGGCCTTCACAGAGGAGGTATTCCCTCTTTTCTTTCTGTTATCCTCCTCAATTCAAAGTTGGACAATCAGGTCTTCAACTGACATTTCCTTGCACTTGTGCTTCAG